GGGAAAAGCAAAGAACCTTAATGAAACCTTGCAGAGCATTGCAAAAAGTTCAGATCTCTATGAGGAAACTTGAATTTCGATTTTAGAAAACATATTCGAAGTATAGGTAGTATGATTGAATGATCCTCGATAGTGAACTGTTGATAATCAAATGCGTAGTTGTATAACATGTCATGATAGCGGATGATTCGTATGTGACACTGAATTCGGAACGATTGGTTGATTGTAATTGTATTGAAATGTGGTCACTGATAAAATAAACGAAATGACCAACTTGTGCCATCGGATAAACTTGATGAGCTGGGCGTGTTGTGTTGATCGTCCTTATCATGAGCGCTAATATTCGACAGTCTTTCAGCAAGCTTAATAGTCTCGGGATCGATACCCTCAACCTCGACAATCGCTAGTGCATTCCTCCGACCCGTTCTGCAGCTCGACGCAAACTCAACGCCTAACGGATCATTATCCGCACTCTTCACCTCCAATTCGCCCATTCCGGGACATTCGCTGTCTGTTAGCACAATACGGACGTTTAATCGTTGACTGAGATAAATAATGCTCTATCAATTTTCATCTAAACCTTTCCTTAAAAATTATTTCTAGTCTTTCTTGCTGATGTGGTCGTTGATGGTTGAAATTCACTGAAATACATTACATCACTGAATCAGTTGTAATCATCCTCAGTTATAACAGCTTCTATGACAACGACTGTTTCTACAACTGACAATAACTGCATTTTTAATTGGAGTGATAGCTCGAATTGCGCTTTTAAAAAAAGCATTATTGATCGTGTTCGAATGCACANGTCAATATTTCAATTAAGAACAAGTTGAGTTTGATGACGTAGCGCAATCCAATGCATCATTATAACGAAACAGTTAAGAAAAAAATCGATTATTATCGCCTCAGAACCAGTGATGCCCTATGCATAGTACGAACGTGAGCATTAAAATTACTTCATTGAAGATAAAGTTCAGTCATTATTCATGATAACAATTATGATTAAAGTTGTGGTTAGAAGATTATTAATAATCATGTGAATAGTAACGAAAACGATATTAACAACACCAATAATGATGTGGAAAACGATCATAGGAAAAACGATAAATACTGGTGTCTACCTATATGCATTCAATAAAGAATACTCAAATCCGTAAAAAGTCACTCAAATCCGAACTAAATTCCTATCCAAAAGCAAACAGTAGCAGTAAGGATATACACTAGTCACACTCTCTGAATATAAACGATACGAGTACCAGGTACCAAATAAACACAAAAAAATACGCTCACATCACAAACAATAACTAACTCTAAAACTAAACCCACCAACAACTCACATCACAGTCTTCTCTCTATCTGTCGCTTCTCTCTGCGACCACAAACAAGCCGTCGGCCATGTCTCGCCATTCCTTTATCTATATTATACTTGAGATAACTAAAGCACCGCCCAAATGATATTTCGCAGTATTGATGCATGCGCCATTGCTATTTGCATATGCATGTTCATGTTACATATCATATACTTCTGCCTTTCTCTTGCTCTCTCCAGTTACCTTTCGTTGATCGATTATTATTCAGTGAGATAGATAGATAGATAGATATGTACGTGTGCATGATTCAGTGAAAAGGACTATTGCTGCTATGTATGTATCGTGAAGAGAATCCATATTCATTCATTGATAATGCGGTAAAATTGCCTCAAAAACAGAATGCATCACTACAAAGGGTTCGTGATTNGTAGATCAGCTGTGAATATTAAGAGTAAATTCACAAACATAAACTGGTAAAATATTTCCTTTACGGATGTAATATTCATTAGTTCAGCTGAATGCTATCAGTTATAATTATCAACATCATTTGATATTTATTGATGGTAAATGTCGCAAACAGATAACTTGCATCTGGCGTGAATGGGGGAACATAAATTGCTGGGGAAGTGGGTGTGAAAGGGAAAGATGAAGAGTTTGAAATCGACATGTCTAATAGCAGTAGGTGGAATTTATCGAGGAAATGAATTAACTTCGTGTCGGTTAATTGACGAAACGTCACAGGAAGACATTTTTGAATACGGAATAGTGAACATGTTGAATTGATACGTAATCAGTGTGCTGAGAGAGCGTTTTAACGAACAATTTTTGTTGAAGATGCACTTTTGAACTAGATACGAGACGAGATACTACAACTCGGTACGACAAAAAATTTTGTATCAAAAATTTCGCCACATTTCGATGAAACAAATACAAACTAAACTGACACGGAAACGAATCGATTACTTCTCATCATTACCATCAGTGTAAATCATCGTTTGATTGTCGATAAATCGAACATTCAATTCATTATTTTACGATCAGCACCTCGCAATTTTCCTTTCCTTACTCTAATTGTTAGTGAACGACCGTCGTCAAACCTTCACTTTCATCTATTCCTTTTTCCGCTGTTTTTCTCCGTTGATCATGTTCTCCTTCTGTGTTTCTCACACAACAGTCTCCCGCATACCCACACTCANGTCATCTGAGAAGATGAAATTAGTTGCAACTGAAGATTGATTTTTATCACCGCATCTATTGCAAAAGTGAATGATATCGTCGGATAGCGACGAATTATAAGCAGAATGTTTGTCGTCGGGACGTGAAATAGACGGGGAACCTAACCAGCTTCTTCATATCGTATGTAGCGGCGGTTCTTCAAATTGACGATAGCTTCCTGTGTGTGGCAAGTTGTCCCACGGGGTTGTCCCACGGGGACGGTGACCGATAATAAGGAATTCGCTATCAGAGGGTAGCTCAAGGGGGTGATTGTTGTAATGGAACAATCTAAAGATATCCTCACAGCGCCTAACGTCTAACTTTGTTGAAAAGTTAGGCGTTAATTGTCAATTAACGTCCAACTTCTTTAAACATCGCAGTTGAACTGGTTTCGTGAACAGGCTGCAGAATACGTTTCTATAAAATTCTGCCGTCGGACACTATCATAACGACTACTCACAGAGCGATTTCTGTGACTTAGCAAAGTCGTGCATCTATCTCTCCATGAAGAATCATGCATTTGGATGATGGAAAGTGAAGCTGTCAAAAGACAGCGGTGATAAGAAGAAGTTTGAGAGCTGTTATATTTGCACGCATCATTTGTTCATCGAGACTCTCGAATGTTGCTCTCAAGATTGAACAATTACTGCGATATCAATTTCATAATCTTTAGCGGTGCAATTGAAGTATAATTTAGTTGAGGTGGAATGGAAGATGAACAAAACAGTGATATTGAAGTGGTACTGAAAGACTCGGTTGGTAGTGATAACGATGAACTGTTAACAAAATGTTTATCTTTGCGACATCAAGTATTCATTGATGAACAAAATATCGATGAAACATTAGAATATGATGGCTTTGATGACAACCAGAGCAGCGTTCATATATTGGCCACTATTCAACGTAATTATTTTTCGCTCACATCAAGTCACCGCGAGCTTGCGTCATCATCAACTGATGAATTATATTCTATCGGAACATGTCGTTTACGAAAAGCAGGTCCATTCATGAAGCTTGAACGGGTTGCAGTCTTAAAGGTGAAACATTTCATTTTTGTTACCTTTTCTTATTACCTCGACAGTCACAGGTGTGTATCATTGTTATTTATTATGATAGCTACCATTGTAATTGAGAAAGTAAACAAACTGCACGTTGAACAATGGAATACAACCATTAACGAGTGCGTCATACAAACATTAGCTCTTGATGGCATAAAATCTAAATATTATGAAAACGATAGAATATTTCTCGAAATGTGTTTGAAACGTTCCTTTTTTTTTACTTCATTCATTCAAGTATATGAAGTGGAGTTTGTTTAAGGATTGGAGACGTAAGGGTATTGGAGAACAAATTTGTAATCATGCGATAAGAACTAGCGAGAGAAACTATGATCAGCTACTGCTAGTCACGCAAGCGCAGGCAACTTCAATTGATTTCTACGAAAAGCTTGGTTTTTTTGCCGTCTCAGATGATTATTTAGAAGCTGGAATTATACATCGGGTAGGATTTTTAAAACATTTTTTGACTTTTCAATAAATATTAGTCAAACTTTTCTGTGCTATTGCTTCGGTGCTCTTTATTTGTTTGAATAATAAAGCTGAGCATGAGGCACTGGACATTCGCTCATTTGAAGCGTGAGCACATTTGAGGAGTGTCTCATCGAGAAATGTTTTCAAACCAGAAACTAGCAGCAAATAAGGTGTTGATTAAGGAAGGTACCGTGAAATATTGAGATGACAAAGCGTTGTGAAAGATTTGATAAATGAATTGATCAATCCTTATAGACAATGATTTATTGGCCAAAACGAAGTGTCAAACTTGAATTAGAATCATGGGATGATCGACAGTTAGTTCAAGATGCGTTTGTTGAGGGCGAATGCTTTGATCCCAATATAATCAGTGTCATTAAAGAACGTGTCCGTCTCTATCGGGTATTTATTATCATTAGCAAATACGTTTTTCATTGTTTCCGCATTTATCTATATGTACAACAACTGCGATAAGTTGAACTGATTGGAAAATGGGTCGAAATAATTGCTAATGTGAAGTTGAGATTACATCGAATTCAAATATTTGCACCAAATTTACCATCGAATTGGGATTATTGTGGTGTAATTAGTTAGTTTATTAGACAAGATGATCATTATGAACGTTTTAGGAGCAGTGTTGTCCACGTTTACTACATATTCGTTTTGAAATAAACGAAAGAGTTGTGGGCAAATCGATACTGAAAACGTACTGTGAATGTGCACGAGCAACGCAACGGAATGAATTCGAAAGAAGTGAAACTCTCGAAAAATATCTGTTGAATATAGCATGGGAAAAACTGAATACCGGCCATTATTCGCAAGTGAATGATGCGTGGCGAGCGCTTTATGCGGCAGTATCGGCATGTAAAGCTTACAGGCTTTTGACACAAAATAAACCTTTGGTTGGTACTTATTTGATATGGAACAATTGAAATTCATCACTTTGGAGTTTTTGTTTCCATTGAATACTCTAAGAATGTTAGGAGTTTTCATTCGTAGATTGCGGTGAACGACAGACGTTCGAATATGATTATTTAGAATTGAATTGAAAATTGGAAGGGCAAAATTGAGTGGATTGGCGAAAAATGTGAAAAGTGGTTGAGGTGCGTGATTGAATTTGATTATAGGATGCGTTACGAGCGTGCGATATGGGGTTGATAATGGGCGGTGATATTGATGGACGGGGTTTATCCGCTTTCGCGACACACATTCATTCGCTATGTCCTCCACCAGCACCACTCAACATCAATGTGATCTACTTTATGCTAGCAATTCTCTTATTCTTTTCATGTTGCTCCATCAAATTATCTCACTTCATGAAGGAGCGAGTATATGATTTTATGTTTCACGCTTTTGACAGCCTGGTGAACTGGATAATGTCACAAAATGTCAACAAATCATTTTATTGTTACCATCATATAATTGACACTTCAACAACCACCGAACAATTATTCACTTCTTTTATAAACACCTTGTTTCGTTCATCTCTTATTGTATTATATAATTCAGCGATTTGTGTTTGACGAGCCAAAGCAGTTAAGTAACTCACATTCCATTCGAAGAGTTCACTGTCCATCGTTGGAAGAATTTTGTGAATTTTTGATGAGACAAGAGCCAGTCGTTATCACTGGTATTGTTTCTGAATGGCCTGCGTTCTCCAAGTGGAGGTCAGCAATATTCAGTTACTGCATTCATTGTTCTTCTTTGTCATTCTTGTTCGAAAACAGTTCCAATTTTATGTGATTTCAATTTTATTTTCACAAATAAGTTCCCGATCTCATTTGCTGTTCTATTGGATTCGTAGGTTTTTTCTTCATCGAATTATCCAAAACACCTTTATTATCTCCCAATCAATATGAACGATTCATATTCGAAATGAATGTTGATGGTATAATATATTAATGAATGGATCATTCATAACTGAAGTCAAAGTTTTGAAATGAATGATGATAATTAAAGTTTCGAATATCTGAATTCAATAATCGGTAATCGCACTGTACCCATTGAAATTGGCAGTAGTTACGCAGATGAGGGATGGTCGCAGTCACTTATGACAGTTAGCGATTTTATGCATGAATTTGTCGAGAACAAGGTATATTATTCATGTTATTTATTGTTCTTATTGTTGTTGTTTTCGTTTAATTATAATGACACTTTCAATTTTCGACTGCTTCACATTCAGTTGCTTTATGTCATGGGTCCCCTTGAGAGGAGGGGGGGGGNGGGGGGGGGAAGGATTTCTGGGTAATTTGGTGTTGTCAAGGGGATAATGGAGGGGGACAGAAATTAGTTCTGACGTTATGCGTAGAAGTAGTATTATTGTAGCAGGAGACGGAGTGGAGTGGGGTGATGACGACCTGTCAGACCACTGAATGGAGTAATGGAGCACCCGAGCTTAGGGACTATTGCTGTTTATGGATGGAACTAATCAGTCGTTCGTTTTGATCACCAAAGTTAAATAGGCTGTACGACTCTGCGCAATGTCTCTCCTAAAAAGTCTTTGCTTTCTCACACCTGATAAAGCAGTCTGGAAAATTAATTTGAAATCAGTTGAGAATCGATCATATTTCTCGTGGTTGTCAGCATATGTGTCCTCGATTGAAACATTCGAGCATAATGCATCAATATTTTGTGAATTGCATTGTCGGCATTTCCAATAAACGCATTCAGTGTTTCATCTGGGCAATAATTAACTTAAGTGGAATTGTTTCAATAGACCCATTGTTAACAGTTCTGTTTCATAAAACGCATTTTTCGAGCAATTTTTACAGTTTGACCATAATTTTTGGTGAGTTTAATAGCACAGCTCTTATTCAAGAATTTGTTCAGATTTTGCCGATGATATCGCAATTGACTTGAGATTTCTTTGTCATTGAATGGTAAAATATGTCTTCAATAATGTTGAATTAAAAATTAATTTGGTGAACAGAGTGGTCGAGGCGTTGGTTATTTGGCACAACATCGTTTGTTTGATCAAATACCCGAATTGGTTGATGATGTAATAATACCTGATTATTGTGCGTTTGGTAGTGATGATTCGTTGGACGATGTCGATCTAAATATATGGCTAGGGCCTGGTGCAACCGTATCACCACTGCACACCGATCCGAAGAGTAACATCTTCTGTCAGGTATGCCTTTTCCGTTTCATTTGATCAGCACAATGAAACTTCACCCTTCACACTAAGTGCGGAATACTAATGGATCTTGGAGCATATTATTTTATGCTGAAGGATCTCTCTTTTCTCGTCCGTAATAATTAAATGGTTGTATATGATTAGGACCTAATGCAGTCGAATTATTATTATTATTATTTTTTGCAGTGTGCCGATTATTTTCTTGTAATCATTTAAATCAAGCAAAAACAAATCGTTCAACATTTTGTTTCACAAATCTTCAAAATGATATTTTTTGTTCCACTTCGAGCTTGTTATTTGACTATTGGTTAAATTAAACTGCAAAGTTATGTATATTGTACCAACTGGACAATGTCCACTGATGAAATTTTCTCTAACAACTCCAATCTTCGCATGTAAAAAAGGAATAATCAAATATTCTATGGCTGAAAGTAGGATCAAGTATGCGTTTCATCTGTTTAGAATTTGAAATATTCAATGCTCAAATATGATCGAATGCTAATCAAATGCTAAACACTGTATTCAATCAGAGTGATATCTGAAAATGAAGTGTATTGTGAAAATCCAATGTCCAGTGGTGATACACTCGTATGTGCATTGAATACACTCTTGTGCGAAAATGCTATTTAAAAAAATTTTAATGTAATGCTGATTATTCTTTTGACTGCAATATTGCTTTGAAAGGAAACAGAAGTGAGTCAGTTAATTAAATAAAATGGCCGGTTTAGTATTGGTATTGTTCTAACCGTACGGAATCGGCCTTTTCGTTGTTTCAGGTTTATGGGAAAAAGTTTTTGAGAGTAGTGCCGTATGCGGAGACGCAGAATGTCTATCCAAATGAGGATGGCTTTTTGACAAATACAAGTCAGGTATTGAATTTAAACTATTTTATAGTGTTCATCATACCAGTTTTTCTTTTTATTTAAGCGTGCATTAAAACATATTTGATTTATGAAATTGCACCTATAAGATCTTTTCGAAGTTCAAATAAAAATTGAAATTCAGGTCGACGTAGAGAATCCGGATTTATCTAAGTATCCACTGTTCAAATCAGCTCATGTTCTCGAATGCACTCTCTCAGCCGGTGAATGCTTGTTCATTCCAACAGCTTACTGGCATTATGTGAAATCGCTCGAACCCAGTATTTCTGTCTCATGTTGGTTTCGAGTGCAATCCTCATCCAGTGGCTAATTGCATTTGTGAATCTTTTTAACAAGTCTTGACATTTCAACTTGTTTTCGATAGAAAACAGTTTTCAGAGACTCGTTGAAAAATTGAAGAGATAAATCGTTGATTCAATTGAAAACCGAATGAGAACCACTTCGTTCTCAAGCGAATTGAACCAAAATGTTCTAAAACTGAAATTTTTGACTTCAGAAGATAATATGTTCCGAAATTTCGTTTGTTTGCATCAAATTTCCAGTAGAACTTGATGGTAAAGCGAGTTTGGATCAGCTTTAAATAGTTCGACACAGCAAACGTTGTTTTATAATGAAATTATCGTTGTTAATTTAACTAATGCAAAAATAAGAAAATAACAAATCGAGAAAATTGATTTCATTCCATCGGTAAGGTTAACGATTGATATTGGAACGAATTAGTTCATTGGAAGTTTGCAGTGCTCTGAAAGATATACGTACAGTGTTCTATTAATGACTTTCGCATTGTTCGTATCGTTTTACTTGTTTAATTCGGATTGCTGAGTGGATGCAATGAATTGTTTGCCTAATGAAACTGATATCGCATGAAGGCATATTCACAATATTAGTTTCGTATGTTTACCGTGTGAGTTGTTCTGTAGTGAATTGTTCTTCATGCTTAAAACGTACACTTTTAATTGGAATATGTCTTTTGAACGCACAGTCACTGTTTTTGGAATATATTTGAAATTTTTCTTCTTGTTGGCTATTTCTCTATTCTTCAAATGTTTTTCAGATGGAGGGTGTTCCTTGTTTTGAAATATTTTTTGCGATTAGGATATGCTTTTTAATATTCCAATGGTTTTGTTTGATTAAAAGTTTTTGTTGTTTTGATGTTGAAGTGTGTGTATATCCTTGTTGTTAGAAGATTCTGATAAAATTTTGACATATTGCCTTGAATCGTTGGGATATTCTACAAAAATGCAGAATTGCCGATTTTTTTCATCGCATGAATGAGTATGTGTTGTTTATAGACATTTGGAAGAATTTTGGACTGCCAAATGAGTGAAACTTTCAGTTTAGCGTATTTAAAAATCTTAGGTCAATATCGAAAAATTACCAAATTTCGGTGGATCCCTACCGCGAAATTTCGAAGCCTGGTCGCTTCGGAATCTTAAAAAGTCGATTCGATCGGATTCCGGCCGAACCAGAATTTCGTTCAGTTGCCATCACTACTATTGATCACGCCGGCATCTGAACAGTCGGTAAAGGTAAGAGCTGAAACTAGGTTTAGCCAACATTTATATTTAAGCATAAACAGGTAACACATCAGCATCAGAATTAAAGTACATCTATCATCCGAGAAACAAAAAACCACTAATCAGATGTCTCCAAAACTAAATGTTGCCCATAGACAACTAACGGGTTGAACAATGTTAAGTTAATGAACGCTTGCAGTAGTTATGTTGATGGTGCTTTATGCATTGCTGAGCACATATCTGACTTTGTATTTATACGTTAAGCGTTTGAACGACAACAATTAAGAGTGTTTTGAAATGAGATTGTTGTTGTATATAGTGCTTATTGATGATAGCGCAGATGTTAGAATAAGATGAATGGAGAAGTGGGAAAGAATGAGGAAAGAAATGATGCGGCGATTCGTGCTGAGGTATAACAGGCGTTTGATATCATTGTTACTGGGCTGGTTATGAGGATGCTGCAATTGTCTGATGGTGCTCGCAAGCAACATCAATTCATTTGTTCATCCATCTTCATTATTGTCATTTCTTGGTTTATTTCCTGTTTATCACTTTACTGGAGTACACCCATATTACAGGTTAAGTTCCGTTTTATTCTTGTTCACTTACATGTTTTTTGTTCATCATAACGAAACAATCACACAAATTATTCGTCTGCTCAATCTCCATATAATTGAACATTCATCCCACAGCAGTTATTCATCAATGAGAATGACCGTTTATGCAGAGTGTAACGCACATATCATGCACATTCAAATTTAGGCTACGTATCTTTCCACATTCCATGGGTATCATCTTTTCACCTGTGTACTTGCATTGCATTAGATGTAGTTTTTGAAGCAATTTGACTGCAGGCTAGAAATAATACACCAACATAGGGGCTGATGGTCTTCTGTGATTGCGATAAGTGAAAATTTATGCATTTCAATAGTGAGACAATTTTGAGAGTCGAGCAAAAATGAAATAGCTGATTGGTGCTCGAAGACATGCAGAACAAGATAAGACACACCTGATGAAAGTGTATATTTGGAGAGGATGTTCATTTCTGCTGAGTGCACTTCCGAAAGTCGTGTCGTTAAACTGAGCGTAATTGTTGCTACTTTCAAACGTGAATAGTGAGAATAGAAATGATTTTCTAAAAGAATTGTCTCCATCGATATCAACAACTGTTTTCGGCTGTAGAGTTATTATGTGTAGAGGTAGATGTACTGATATATCAGAGCAGAATATAGCCGTTCATATTGTTGAGCAGCATTGCAGCGATGATTATCAAAAAAATTTTTCCCCAACCAGTCACCTCAAATGTCAGAATCATACTTCATTTAAACAGATGTTCGTTCTGCTTAGTTTTCAAATATTTTAATATAATATTCAAATAGAATATTTAAATTTACAATAAAAGCACATTACTTTAAGCGTACCGAATAATATACAAAAATAATTAGAATTGGGCAACTATAATATAACGCAGATTTGCACAGATTCATTTCGTTTTGCTGTTATAATGCGAGTAATCAAAGGATTAAAGTGACACAATGCGTTGAGATGAAGTGTCATCATAAGAGTTTGTTTGAGTGCAGATATTGAATTGCAAAGTGGATTATGTACTTATTTAAAGTAATTAGACCGAATCTGAAATCACATGGAAGACACTGTAAGGTAATGATTGTGTAATGCAGCGGTAATTGCAGTTAAGAGTTGGTCAACTGTATGAAAGTCGTTGGCTGTTATCGTCACTAGCGGTGAACATATTTTTTGCGTACCTCTTTCTTCGGTCACCATGCCAACTGCTATTCTCAGCCGTATTCGTCTCAACGCAGTACTCAATTGTTTATTGTATTATAAGTTTTTTCGTTTACATTATTGATTCTTTCAACGTGTTTTCGTATTCATCGAAATCATCTCATCGAGAAGTTGTTCTGTATCTTCGCATCAGCATCACACTCATATTTCTGTCGTTTATTGGATTGATTCTTTCGATTGTTCATCTTCGTAAATTAGTTTTATTTGCATGGCACTCACAACAATGTACACCTATTACACGCAGACGTCTACTACAGGTATAATTTTCTCATTGTGAAGCCAATTAAAATGCATGATTGACGACTTTGGTTTTTTATAGAGCTTATTGTTGGGATCTTTTTCACTTGTAACTTTGAATTTGGCTAACAGGAGATTCATGTAGAAATAAAGGATGGTTCGAGAATTCGAATTGCTCTGCGAAATCTTACTAATTCAGTATGTGAAATTGTTATTTATGATGCACTACAGAACTTATGTAGAATTTGAAAACGTCATCGTTTTAGTTCATTTTATTCTATTTTATTTCAGTGTTGCTCGGCACTCCATGCTACACTTTCTCTGTTCAGTATTTACATCTGTTCCGAGATGATATCATTAAAAACAACGTAATCTTTTCGACCTCTTCAGTTTATTTCAAATCTGTTTGACAATTTGATGAAAGTCATCATTATTTTATCTAGACCTGCTCCGGCTGATCTCATTAATGATTTTCCATCTTGAATCCAGCAGATTTATTTTGAACACAGCGAAGTTATTTATGTGCACATTAATTAGCTGTCAAATCAAGGTTCTTCTCAGCAACAGCTGCATGTAGTTTGAATATAAATAACTAGATTGGTCAGCTTTAAAAAATGTTCAATCACGATTTTAATTGACTGATCAAGGCAAAATAGCCAACGAATGTAGATGACCAATCATGAAAATGAAATGAATTTATCGTGAATAAATTCACTGAAGTCACCATGACTGTACAGTTGGATTGCCCAACAGTGTTCAAATACAATGTGCAAAGTTTCAGTTATGTGCAATCCTACAACATACAGCAGTTGTGTTGCGCATTATTATCACTTATACTTGCCTTATTACAAAGCATTCTGCAAAAGAAATGGAACAGCATTGTCGTGACAACAATAACGATTATGAACATATGTCAGTTAATACAAGAGCTAGCACATGCATGGAATGCATATTATGTTTGTATTTACATCAAGTCTATTGCTGTTCATCTCGATGATGATATGATTTTTGATCAGGTAAACGATAATCCTATTTGCGATAGCACTAACGATAGGATGGTTGAAATAACAACGATGATATCGTTTTCACGGGATCAGAATGAGCAATCAAATACTAGAAAATGAAACTGAAGAAGCGAATAATGAGTGAAATGATAAATCAAGGTGATGATATTGATAACTTTGCTTATCCACACCATTCGGCTGGTATTATGTGCATTGGTCATATATGCTCTTTGTCAAGTATCATTCCAAGACGTAATGAATCAACGGATTTTATTTATCGCTAACCGTGACCAACTTATATCAATCAATCAAGTGGCACGAGCTTCTCGAATTGGTCTCTCTTTTTTTTNTTTTTTTTCATTTATCCAAATCATCACTTTGATTTTGATCGTTTCCAATTTTCAGTGGAAAAAGTAACTGTTTTGTTATTATATGGTAGTTATGGCAAAAGTTTACCTTGAATGTAGTTCGTTAGTTTGCGATTGTCGCGAAAATATGTTTTTGCGACAATTGCAAGCAAACGAACTGCATTGCGACAATTGTTTTTGCGATACCTAATGATTTTTGGTTGAAACAGCCAAATAAGTCTGAAAACAATAACCAGTACTCAGCCGAAGTCTATTAGGACTCAATTAATTTCAGATGACCATGAATCGTTGTGTTATCTATGTTTATCAACATTCTTATCAATTGCCTACATAATCATTGATATCGCTTATTTCTATATCCAATCTGCTCGTCGTGTATTGACGGCTAGTACTGGTATATCACTATTTTATACATTTTTTATAGCACTCTCTTTTTATATCTACCGAAAACGTCATATCGCTGTTGCACTCGTGAGTTTTATATCACTTTATTATATGAATTGTTATTATCTACTGTTTGTATTTGATTTGCCATTTTCAACTTCACTCAATTGATTTATCAATTATCCGTCTGATTTCTATCAGTTTAAGCAGAGATCAGCCCATCCTCGAAAAATGCTTGACGTCGGACTTTTATGTATTATCGTCATTTGCTAGTTTCGCAGATTTCGTACCTAACAAAACACCAAGCTGGGATTAGCATGAAGTGCTTTGAAAAGTTCTGGTTTAAGATGCATAAGACCAGATGTAATGGATAACCTTTGATGGAAGAATACTTCGATACGATGCAATAATTAATTTTTGATTGCAGAAAGTTTGCTGCGTTTTCGCAGTCGTCTTATGTAATAGTTGTTTACATACAACCTTCATGTTCGTTCAAGAATTTTTCATCGGTAAAATGTCACAAATTATTTTCAGCAATCAAACGAATACATTTTTATACGGTAAACGAAGATTACTTTTCTTGTTGAAAGTTGATTTAAGAATTTGTTCTCATTTCAATTCGAATTCATAAGATACTGTCCATCCTTCCACCTCCAAATGCTGCCATACATGAACGGTCGAGGAATGAGGGGGATTGTGTTCAGTGATTGAAAAACTAGATCGAGCCTTTTACACTTGATTCAGGCAACATTCAAAACCTAATGCTGAGTAGTGTAATGTTGCGAGGAAAAGCGAAATTCTTCCACAATTTGTTTCATCCCAATTTCGCTGAATTTTCTGGCTAGTTCCGACTGGTAACGATGGCTTTCCAAACGTCATAAAATATGTCAATTGATAAAGATGGGAGAGTTGTGACGAGACCAGGTTTTATTATCGCGCGTTACCTCTCGGATTGTCTTAAGTGATCTGCCAGCAGCTTCCAATAAGTCGTCGAAAAATTCAAGCCCAAAAGGAAAATGTTACTCAAGCAGTAGAAGATTGAAGACACTTTTTCTCAACAGCTACACTCTATCTGAGTGGTTGGTTGGGGAAAACGTTTGGTAGACTGCACTTAAATTGGATCCTCGTCCTTAAGTCTCATCAGCCAGCTACACATAACTAAGGTTGATAAAACCCAACACAAAAAATGATTTCCGTTATCCGAACGAACGCAAATCCCAAAACATTCAGAGAAAGGGATGATAGACTCTTTCAGATCATTGAAGATTTCCGCCAGTAGTTAAAGAGAAATCAATGAGTTTTCATTGCGGAGTTGAACTCCGGTCTTTTGAAGATAATTTAGCAGGTTTTTAAAACTGAACACAGCTCAGTTTATACACATTCATTATTGGAAAGTTGTTTTCCGAATGAAATCAACGTGAACGATGAGGATAGTAACAGCATAATTAAAAACGATATTTGGTAGAATGGACGATTCATGAATTTGATTATGTGATTGATAATTAAATACACTAATTGCAGGTGCGGATGCATTTTTAGCGATATGCTCAACGATATTAGCAGTCGCATGTATACGATTCGGAACACGTACGGTGTTGAGACATCACACATTACAAACACAATTATCATCAATTAACACACCTCTCAAAATACTCAATCACCTCGCTACTGCCAATATTATCACTGTTGCCGTTGAATTCTCACTTATTATTATGGTGAGCATCATTTGTTCAGTAGGCGTAATACAAGTTCACCTCATTCAACGTCAAACATGGAATCGGCATCAGAATTTTCCAACGAATCGTCAAAATTTTCGGCGCTCTGCAATTTGACGAAAATTTCGCTTCGGCGGATCGACAATCGGCGATCCGCCGAAGCGAAATTTTTGCTCACCTACCAAAAATGTATTTGGTCGCCGAATGCCAAAACTTTCGATGACCTGTCAACTACCAAATGTAATTTCCGTGATCGGGCCAGCGAGCGACATCCCGGTATACTCTGCAACCATTGTGCATTCGGCAATCTGCTCAGTCCATATTTTCGCCGTAGCGGAGTGGTTCTTGTCGTTTATCCTATTGAGTGAACTCGTTTTGTGTAAGGCAAATGCCCTTTTCAAAGTGTGCGAGTTAGTTCCATAGCAACAATCATGCTAAATGAAACAAAAAATGATGCTGAATGCATTTCAGCCACCATTTTTGGATTACGCTATAACTAAGCTATTAAATGAGATCATTTAACAAGGTCGACCTGTACAGTGTACACCATTAAATCTGTTGTTGTTTTGTTGCATATTAACATCAAACTAGAATCGCTAAAAATCATCCCCCAAAACAACACTAGTTTTGAAATAATCCTCATGTATGCGAACAAAATGCAAATTACACGTCAATTGGGGTCTAATTATTTTGTGTTAACGAATATTTCAAGTCCTAATGTTATTCATTGAGTCAATATGAAAATACAAAAATGAAGGATAATATGATAATGCCATTCACTGATTAAGATGAAATTCGGTTGGAAAATAAGTGATCCGGCAGTGAATTTTGGTGTTTTGGATTGGATTAGTGTGTTATCAACATGCGTTCTTCAGAAGTGGGTTTGTATGTATGAACGTTATCAAAGCTGCCTCATTATACTTGTCTTACAGGTCAATTATTTCAGTATCTTCTTTCGCGTTTTATATTATCAATATTCATTGTTCCCGCAATCGTTATTCAACAAATGATAGCGATAAGCCATCTTGTTGAGTGTCGTAACGATTTCACATATCTTTTTTTTACTCAATATTATTAGCGAATTCCATGCATGAAACACTCGAGCATTACGCACGAAAACGTTTATTTAGCAGGCATTTTATCACTTATTCAAAAATTAATTAATCGAAGCTGATGAAGTTAAGTGTATGAGGAGTTATTTTAGCTGGTTGTTGAATCCCTGACCACACTGTCATTTTTATCTGCTCAAACAAGCTATATTCAATTAGTGTTATCGTTGACTCGTTCACCAACAGATATCGATAAACTGAAAAGATTGCTTCCAATTGACCATCTCGTTGTTGTTCTCGTGAGTTTTTCAGCTTTTTCAAGCACACACTCCATCATTTCATTCACTTCTTTACTCCATAAAAAATGTAGCAAAAAATTTTCTTTTTTCACCAAGAGCTCGTTGTGTAGATCTTGAAGAGAAAGCGATTAACAGTAATTTCAGATTGATCATGGACTTCAAATATTCCAGTGGCTTATAGCGCTTTGTTCGTTGGGATTTTCGCTAATTATCGCAGATGAAATGATTACTGAACCGCAATCGTCAACACGTAACTCACACGACGATGCGATAGAAATATCTCATCCGGAGGCACACAGTATACCTAGATTAGAAAACGTGCTGTTTGAGAATGATTGTGTGCAAATTTGGGGATTGGAACATGATAACGCATCATAAAGTTACGCAATTGAGGTGTGTGTTGTATTGTACTGTGAATGGACTGATGCATCATGTTTTAAAAAAACTCTGATTGTACGTAACATTTGGTGTAATATATCAATTGTCAAATTGGATATTTATTGCAAATCCCTTGATATGATGAGTTTTGGGAGTTGCGATTTGCAGTTGCCATGACAAATATTACATTAATTTCATCCTCCCTCTTCACTTTCCAGTGATATTTATGTTTCATTCTCTTCGATTCACTGATCGTGAGAGGAGACATTGAAAGGATTTTTTTTTTCATCTGTTCGTTTGAATTTTTCCTTATTCGGGAATGTGAACCAGATATTTCACATGAGATACTTACTGGGTGCAGTGCATTAAACTTATCAGAACTCGTTGATTCATTCATTCGAGTGCGATTCCTTTGTTTCTCTTCATAGACAGTGATTGCTTGCACTTGCTGATAAATGTACTTTCCGTCACCAGGGAACCAAGCAAGTTGACCATGAGAAGAATTGAAATTAAATCATTAGGGAAAATTTATGATCTTTATGAGCTGTTTGACCACAAGTTGTTAGTTAAAATAAACGCGCTTAAGGCATTTACAATAATAATGGCTGTAATCATGCGAATTTACTGCATGAGTTCATCGCGAGAGAATTCTTAAACTCTTTCAAATGTTCAGCCAAAAAACATTGATTTTCGCTTCATTAACAACCGACTGAATGAGTCGTTATTGATATACACCATGAATTTTGATCTGTTGCGTCCCATCAACACACTGACAAAGCGAATCGGACGTAATTTGAAACTGATGGAGGATTCTTATTTGAGTTATCGTATGTTTTTTCTTAAATTACGTATTTGGTGACATATTACGTGACAACTGCAGTGTTGCATTCTTGTCAATTCATTAATTAACAGCAATATTACTTGTCAATTCATTAATTAACAGATTCTGCCTTAGTCGTGAATAATATCAACAAATCGCGAATTTAGATGAATAGTGGCCTCTAGTATGATTCGATTTTTTTTCGAAACTCAGTTCTCAAGTACAGAATCTCGTCGTTGGTTGAGCTTTCGATGTGACAGTTGCTTGATGTAATTTGATGTAATTCACAATAAATGCAGTTCAATTACTCAGTTGAATTTCGGTTACAAAGTGATGATGTTCGAAGGTTTCGCGAACTGAATCATTGACGAAAGTGATCCACTTTTCTTCTCTAATTTGCTCACTGTTCGGTATACTTCGAGATGCACACTGATTAAATGTAAGAGAATTACTAAGTACACTTTACATTTGGCTTATGTGATTGTAAAATATTTTGAAAAACTCTTCACAGGGAATTTTGATGATGACTTATTGTTAGTGCACCACCGATCAAATCTTTCATATTCAAGTATTATCGTCCCCAATAATAATAATTAATTGTTTTCTTATTGTTTGACGAAATGCGCCATCAAAAGTAATATTATCGATGCAGTAACGTAACATCATCCTGATCTCTTTTGAACGCAATCTCAATTTCCTGATAGAGTTCATGAATGATGCGCATATGAATGTTCAAAAACTCGTTGCTCATCGCTGAATTAAGAGCACAACCTAATCACAATCAATATAGAACAACACGCAGTCACGTTTTACTGCTCTGTTAGGTGTTCAGTGATTACTGGTTGCTTGATGATGATGTTGTTGTGTCATCTGGAAACGCGTCTTATATTGTCCAAAATCCAAAGCTATTCCAGAATTTCACAACATTCTGATACGACCAACTACACACATATTCTAAGCAAATTTTAAGTTGATTTTCGTATAACAGCTATTATATTCACCAGGAGTCTTTCATTTCTACTATTACCATCACCAGAAACGTACGTTCTTCGTTCATAATGTCACTTTCTTTATCCATCTAGCGATATTAGCACAGGAAATCATTTGTTTCTGTAAAACTTAATCTAGGCACACCATCGATTTAGCGTTCACAGAGGTATCAGAGTTACTTTTCCGTTCTGCGCAATCATCACTAGGGAGAGATGCTTGAAGCACGTCCGGCAACGATTATTTAAAGGAACAAACGTCCAATGATCACTCAGAGTAACCGTTGAAAGCAAGCGATACCTGTGAAACGTTAATCATTCCGAATCAGTTATTTTATGTTTATGTGTTTATAAACAGCAGGTTTTTAAGCGATTCATCGAACTGATGATTTGTCTTGAATTAGGAAGACAAATCTTCAGTGGGTAAAACGCACTGAATTTAAGTGTACTGCATGCAGCATTATTGTGGATGCAATACGCTTAATATATTACTCTGTTCTATCGCTGTCACTTCACAATTCTTCAATCCAGTATTTAAAAAAAAACTATTCTCCTTTTGAGCATGCTGAAGGCTTTTTCGACCACAGTTCGAAACTGTTTTGCAAGGGTGAAAGGCAATTTCGATGGAATTCTGTAAAGATTTATTTATTCATTTATTTATTTGCATTCAATTTCGGTAAGCTTCTGCCTTGAGAAAATTCAGTGGTTCATCTTAAAACATATAAATCACAGAAGATGATAAATCATGGATCATGAGTCGCAGAGCACGAATCACTTGTGGTTGATAAAAGCTTGTCATAACTTGTCATGAATCTCAAACATAAGGCAGTATTACTGAGTTTTACGATGTGCTAACAACGCAGACACTATGACGACAGCAACTGTCATCGTATTAGAACGACAACGTTAACTGCCATTAAGCACTGCAGTTGCTTGGAACGTTGTGGTCTTCTCATCACATTCTGCTTTATTCTTATCGCACGTCTATAAAGTTCGTCGCGTTGAACAATGATTTATTCTTTCTAGTAGATTATTCAAGTATTCCTCGTTGAAGCTAATTTTTAAATTTATAAAATTTATGGATCTGAATCAGTTGTAACAATGTGCTATCGAATTGTTTAGAACAAAAGTTTCGCTATATGAATGCATGGATCAGGGTCTGATTCTACTCATAAATTTTTCACGCTTGTCTTCTTCTTATCACCGCGATGCGTCAAATCTGATCACTCATTGTCGTTTGACAGTGAATCCTAATTCAGTTGAAAACAGTTCGCGATTTTCAGTAGGTTCCTTGACCTAAAGGAATTTGATTTGCATTCGGTTCATCCACTGCGTTGTCGTCTCTTAATGGGATGACTTCTTGCCACCTGAGTGGGAACTGGAAAATGCTTAACGCAGCCCTTAGAGATTTGTTGCTACATAGCCGGAACGATACACTTTTCTTGTAGTCTTTCATCAGTTTCATTCAGCTTGTATACGTGTTGGTTCAAATTGAGAGCTCCTATTCGGTTTAAAGTATTCGCTGTTAAAGTCGTCATCATAGCTGTAATCTGAATCATCGTTGATCTAGATCTGTCGTTTGAGTCAACTCTAGAGTTTGTAAAATCCCGACGTTTTTTCAATCCCGGGATTGGGATTTAATTCTGAGATCGATTTGTGATCCTGGGATAATCCCGGGATCACACAATTTTTGTAATATCGATGGGGGACATGTTCAAACACATTTTTTCNTCATTATTAATCAGGAAGAAATTAATTCAAAAAATTATTGAACAAATTCGAGAAACCTGCGGAACCGCGCACGTTTTCGTTCTTAACAAAGCGGCACTTTCTTGTTTTCTTGAATATAATAATATATGTGTTTATATTAAAGTCTGCCAAAAGGAAACGCAAAAAGTACGCGATTAGAATTGTTCTTCCTTTGCCTCTTTACAGGTTTCTACCGAGAGTTGCATTATATACTATGAAACGCATTTAGCCATTGCGATAAACCTAACCGCAGAACAGAGAAGGGAAATTTGAAAGTGAAAATCAAATTAAGGGACGATGAACTTGGCCTGATAGTCAATGATAGGGAGGCGAATGAGAAAATTGAAAGCGAGAAGGACAGAATTGAGATTGGACGTAGTAATTCAGGAGAAACAAGAATTATCAAAACATCTTCTAACAACACGTAATTAGAATTGTTTTTAATGAAATCTTAATTGAAGTTAAAATCGAATCGGTCGTATCCCAGCCGAAACAAGACTTCGTTCAGTTGACACTACTATCTAGGATTCCAATAGCAGAAAAAAACATTGCAATTTATGATAAACAATTTTGACTATGAGTGGAGTTAGTTCGAATGATTTTGAACGAAATCAAAAACTGAAAGAAGAAAAAAAGACGTGCAATTAAATGAAACTTCTGCTTTTTGCAACACGAAAATCTCAAAGTTAAATAACTCTCCTATTCGTTGACTTGCAAAAACTCAGAATTAATTATTGTGGCTTCGTAGTGAAATCTCATTGCTTCAGTTCAACTCAAAAATTTCATGGTCTTATCTGTTCGTTTTGATGGTTCCTACAACATATATATAACATTTGAAAAAATTCTTAATTTGAAGAAAATACCGAATGCAACAACGAACATGTTCGATGCCCTAACAACGGAAGCTTTGTAAGTGATCAGAAATCATCGGAAATTCAGCTAATGAAGTGGTCCATCATTATGAAGTGGTCCATGCGTGCAGTTTTCTATTCTCATCATGCTAGTACTGTTTCATTGGAATGAATGAAACACATACGAAACTAGGATATAGAACATACATTGATGATTAATTATGTAACGCATGAACACGGAATTGATACTGGGTGCATAGAAATTATTATTCTCTTTCATCGTTGGCCATATTCGTACTTTTCGATCGTCACGGTAGAGCATCTCTCGCTGTTACAACTTAACAATATGGAATCGTTCAGACTTATATGAACTGATTACTGATGTCAAATTGATTGGCACTACCCTATTGGATCACTCATTGATTCAATTTACTCAGGATCAGGAAAGCAGTTTATTGAAATTCTTTACCGATTTTCACCAGAAGATTCGTCACTCCTGTTCTTGCTTCAGCAAGATAATGAATATTTCAATATTTGATCGGTTTCATTACTTTTCATAGATGGAATTCAATAATTATGTTGCTTACTGAAGGG